AGATAATGAGATAGAAGAAAGCTTAGTCTGCAGGACACAAAGAATCTGCGGTGTTGGAGTTAATGTAGTAAACAAGGGAAAGATAGCTATAGGGAAGGCAAGTCACACAGAGCTTGAAGGTTAAATTAAGAAGTGTGGAGAGGCTTTTTAGTGCATTGGGAAACCTTTGCATATTTTTATTTACTTTATTATTTTATTTTTTTAATGTTTATTTTTGAGAGAGAGAGACACACACACACAGAATCCGAAGCAGGCTACAGGCTCTGAGCTGCCAGCACAGAGCCTAATAAAGAGCTTGAACCCACAGACTGTGAGATCGTGACAGCTGAAGTCAAAAGCTTAACCAACTGAGCCACTCAGGTGCCCCAGAATATTTTTAAAGCATAGAAGTAAAAAGATTTGTTTTACATCGTGCAAAGATCACTCTGGTTGCTGGGTGTGGAATGGGCTGGAGAGAGTCAAGAGTGAAAGCAAGAAGACCAAGAGAAACATGGCTACAGTGATTCAGGTAAGAAGTAATGGTGGTTGGATGGCAGTAAGGCTGAAGGGAAGTGGAAGAGCTTGATAAATACCTTGCAAGTAGAATGGATGGTTCTTGAAAATAGATTGAATAGGAGGAGTGTGAGGGAGATGTCGACGATTAATCCTAGGATGGTGGGTGGATAGTGAAATTAAGGAGACTAGAAAGGAAACTCATTTGGGAGAGAAAAATTAATAGTTAAGTTTTGAGAAAATTAAATTTAAGATGTGTTTGCAAACACCACAATAGATATGCCAAGAGCAGGGCTATGTATCAGTTTGGGACTTCGAAGAGATCTGAGCTGCAGTTATATTTTTGGGGATCATTGGACTAAAGATGGTATGTAAAGACCTTCTTGTAACCTTTCTGAAAATATTGTCAGTGGAGGTGGGAGTTGGGAAGCCAGATTACAGTAGGTTAAGAAATGGAGACAATAGACAAGAAATATAAATCAATCTTTCAAGCAGTTTGTAGAAAAAGAAAGCAGAGGGATTAGGAAAAGCTTAAGGAGAGATGTGGGCATAGAGTAGAGATGTTTATGTTAAGAAGAGTTTTCAGCTAGTTTTTAGGCTGTGAAGAGAGGTAGCAGACTGGGTGAGATTGAGGATCTAGGAGATCAGGGGTGGAGGTGCGTGTGAACTTGAGAAAATCAATTAGAGGAAAACGTAATGGAATCCTGAACACTGGGGTCAGGTCAGCCTATTCAAGGAATAGAAGCATCTCTTCCTTTGAAATAGCGAGGGCTAAGTTAGAATGACGAAGACATAATGATCAGGCCATTCAGAGATTTCAGGCCAAAATGACTTCTACTTTTTGGGGTAAAGTGAGAGGTGACACTATCTGCTGATAGTCAGAGGGTAAGATTAGGTTGGAGATTTTCCTCAATTGTTGCTTCTGGGAATGGAAAAAGGCACCTGAATCCTCCATGGCTGTTATCCCAAGCCCTTTGTGTATCTCCATGAAGCTTGTGGCTATGAAGCCTTCACATGATAGCTTTATTGATTTCAAATTCCAAATGTTCTTAAAACTAAACTCCTTGATTGAATTTTCTATGTGCCATTAACTCATTTTATAGCATCCCAGGGCCAAGAAACTATTAATGTGCTCCAAGTTCAAGTAAATTTTCAATTTAACAAGGCTTTATGGCCTTTTCAATTTTACTTGACTAGATGACATTAAAGTAAAGCAAAACATCTTTAATTTGTCTCGAAGGACCTAACCAAGGGAAACATTTTCTCATCCTTGGGATTGTGATGGGAGAGAACATAAGCCAGTAAATTCTGTAAGGTAGGTAAAGTTTCTACTCTATTATTGGTCACAAAAGTGTGATTGGTGCAATCTTACCTTGGCAGAATCTCTACTTTATCATTCTTATCTCCCAACTAATACTAGAGCTTCTCATTTACAATCACTTTAAAGCTCAGTTAGAGTCTTCATAAATGTCAGTTCAGGGAGAGCTGTTTCAGCAAATAATGCAGCACATGTCTCTTTATGAAGAGTTAAAAAATAGATGACTGACAGATTCAGTATTTATTGATACTTAGCAACACATCGATTATGTACTTAGGCAAGAACAAGCAAAGCTCATTCAAACTCCATATTATTGCCATATGTTACTTAGTTACTTGAAGTTTTTACTCATAAGATTTAAAATCTCTTTATATTGGTTAATCTCTTGTTAAAAAGAGACACTCTTCAAGTAAGCTAAGGAATGTTGTCATTTGAGGCTTTTGATTTTTTTTTAGGTTAACGTCAATGGAATCAAGGACTATTCAGTTTCCTGCATCCACAGATGACTCTCCACTCTCTCTCCATGGTTGCAGTCATTTGACCTTTGGCCTAAGTGAAAAATTTTGCTTCAGCTTCTGAGATCTATTCTAACCTTTATCGGGGATAATTTTAGGAAATACAGACCAGTCTTTGGTTGACTCAGCAACCTTAACCCAGCTGAGAGTGACTCCAGTTGGTGTTACACATTTTTTTAACTTTTTAAAAATTTTTTTCTAGAGAGAGAGAGTGTGTGTGTGGACATGAGAGGGGGAGAGAGGCAGAAGGAGAGAATCATAAGTGGGCTCCATGTTCAATGTAGAGCCAAAGCAGGGCTCTATCCCGCAACCCTGGATCATGACCTGAGCTGACATCAAGAGCTGGGCCTCTATCAACTGTGTCACCTAGGCGCCCCCTTTTTTCTTTAACTTTTTTATTAGGTGTTATGCCCCTAATGATTGATGTTCTTTGCTTTCTTGCTCACCTATTGATTGGAGGATTCTGTGAAGGAAAGAAAGTACATTACCTGGGTTTGGATCCTCTCTTTACCACTATCTTTGCCTGTGGTTCTGGGTTAATTATTTTACTTTTCTGAGACTCAGATATATACTCTCAAATGTTATTAGAAATACTTATGTTACAGAGGTGTTGTTTGGTGAATAGAAGACAGTTCCATCCCCCCTGCGGCCCCCTTTCTCCCAAGTTTCTGCCTTCATAGACTCCTCATTGCACAAATTCTCCAGGCTTGAGTTTTTGCTTTGCTTTAGGTAAATATTTTTAGGGACTAGATTTCTGTGAACTGCTATTGGATCACTTTGATGATGGTTACCATCTTCCTGCATTCGTACATATTAGCTGATTTTAGGGTCCTAGTTTCTATGCCTTCCATCTGCCCAGAAAACTGGTTGCATTTTACAGAATTGCCTCAATGATTATGATATGCTTGGGTTGCCGCCTATTGCCTGATATCATATTTTCTGATAACTTTGAACTATCAGGATTCTTGGGCTTCCCCTCATCCCTGTCCCACAGAGGTTATGTTTAACTTCTACCTCATTTACAGTTTTTGTTTGGGTCATTATATAATATTATAAATGTACCTAAAAGTCACATATTTTCTAAATATAAACAAGGAAGATCACCTGCTTAAAGAAGATTATAAACCCATGATAACAGGAAGGCTTGATATGAATTTTAAAATACACATTTTGTGAGAAAATGGTGCTAATTTCAGGACTTGCAATTTATAACACAGAAACAAGTCAAGTACTTGTCAAAATTCATTGCTTCTTTATATGAATGACGTAGACCAGAAGATCTTATAATCTCAAGAGGTTGTCATACCTTAATGCCCACACAGAAGCAAAGGCAACAAATCAGTAGAGTCAGTGGAAGAGAGGTCAAGGGTAAAAGCCAACCTATATGAATGAGCAATTCATCCTTCTCTTTCCATATCAATTCTAAAATCTAAGGTTTACTTGCTTAGCTAAAGTTCAGCCTTATTTATAAAACATCATTAGCCATTGATAAATAGTTGGGTTCATATTTGATTTCTACAGTTTAATTTTGGTTGTCATTGGCATTTAAACCAAAAGTCACCATCAATACTTTCATATATTAACTTTATTCGACCAACTTATTTATGCATTGTGCTTTAAAATTAGAATATTAATTAAGGAACAACTCATGAATGTTCATGTTCATTCCAGGTTCTAGTGGTAGTAGATCAGTTTGCATGTCTAAATATAGAGCTATATCTACAAACAAAACATCTTTATTTATTTCCGAGCCTGTATACAGCAAAACGAGAAAATGGATGTGATTGCTTAATAATCAGACACTGGTGAATACATTAATTCTTTAATAATACTATAGGGTCATCTGGAATTTTCCTTTGGCATTTTGATGTTTAGATCTGGGAGTATTTTAGGTTATCTAAATAAATAGCTCTCTATTTTCTCACAATACAGTAAGCAGTTTTATAATGCTCTGAATTACCTACTGTACCCTTCTGTGCCTCTGAAAACCACGAAATCACCTAGGCCTGGTATTCACAATAAATGGGCTCAACTGCCTGCCCGTTGATGGCTGAGAAACAATGAAATAGAGTTAATCAGATTAAATATTAGTGACTAAGATATTCTAATTGTCAAGAAAGCAATCAGTGAAACACAATCCAACAAGACAAAAATCAGTTACTAGACTTGAAAAATATCAGCTCTTTGGCCCAAAGCACAAGCCCATGACTACTCTCATCCTGTTCTTCCCATGAAGAAAGCCTAATGTGCACAAGGCTCTAACAAACTGTTTTTCTAAAAGTCAGCAATTTGCAGTCATTCACGTGCACAGACTATAGAACCAAAAACCATCTCACGAGGTCTTTTCATATTAAATTGTTTTCCCTCTCTTAATTAATGCGGCTTGGAGATTAGAAGGCCTTGGGAGACACTCTACCCTAAGGAGAAGGCATGAGTTCATAAATTGTCCAGCCAAAATAAGTGGACTTTCTCTAATGGTTCAAAAGTATAACTGCATTGAAATGACCCTTGAGTCACCAATATGAGGGAAAATGTCACTGGACTGTGAATCTCTTGAAAAATTGGCAAGAAAGTGTAGCTGAAAGTATCCCAGGACCAATTACTCAGTGCAAGGTTGAATTTAATTGGGTCAAGCAAACATCCCTCTTTCTCATTCCCCTGTCCAAGTAACTCACAACTTTCAATCTCCAGAGTGCAGTTTTGCTCATCCAGAGGATATCTTCGTAGATCCATCATACATGCAGCTGTGGTTGTGATCCTGTCAGGACGAAAGAAAAGACAGCATCGTGAAGATGATGACTTTCATTTCCAGACTTCTCAGCCCCAAATCATGTTTACCACTTGGCATCAAAATTTTATGATTAAAATTTTTGAAGTTGGGTAGATTAAGTTCAAGTCTTTGCTTTGCTGCTCACTAGCTGTCCTTTTATCAATCAAAACACGGCTGTGAGGATTAAGAGAGATAATGTGTGTAAAGCTCCTAGCCTGTTGCCTCATAGTTAGTAAGTGCTCCAAAAATGATGGTCATTTTATATCTGTTATTATCCCATGGTCTTTCCTATACTTACTAGCATCTAGCAATGTCTGTGACAGTATCTACAGTGAGTCTGGCCTTATGAGTAAGAGGAGATCAACATTATGCATCAAAACCTATCTCCCTCGCCTGCTATAGCCTAATAATAAAACAACAAAAATGACGAGAACAATAAAACCCACCTTTCATGACAGTTGGGTCCTCACATTCCTCACTATTAGAAAGATTTGTTGGATTCATCTGAGACCCTCTTCTACCTATACTCAGCAGATAGCATATAACCAGTAAAGAAACACAGACTGTATTTACCAGTTTTTGCTCTCTGGTGACCTTATTTGTTTACGAAAATCCCAGGACCTTGAATCTAGATATCCTACTGGGATTTTCCATTATCTCTCCATTTTCTCTTGCCTGTAAAGTGCCCTAGAATGTTGAGTGGGAGAGTGCCTTAAATTCCTTTGGCTAGTCCATGCTTACAAACATTTGGTACCACTTTGTAATTGACAAAGTACTTTTATTTAAAAAAAATTACATAATCCTTCTATGCCAAGTAATATATAATCATATTTTAAAGAATTCAAAAGATTTCAATTTAGCAATGTTTCCTTTCTAGCTTAATCCACAGGAGCTACAATACTGGACATTTTTCATAAATACTCCACATGTCAAAGAAATCAGGTAGGTCTTCTTAGGGGAAAACTTCTTAGATAGCATCCTTCCACATCTGTTCTGAACCTTGCTTGTTTTCATTATCAGAACATCTTGGATTTGGTCCCATGTGAGTAAATAATAGGCTGTCTTCAAAAAATTTACTATACTAGGTTCAGTTATATGGAAATATTGTAATTTATTTTCCCAATCAGTTTGGTGAGCATTTACATTGTTTTCTGTTTTTTTACTTTTACAAATGAAGACACTCTGAATATACTGGTATACTCTACTATGTCTGCCTATATGTGTTGGTTATTTCTAGAAAAGGAATTGTTAGAAAGAATGGTATGTACATTTGAAATTTTGCCACATTGTTCTTCATAGAGATTGTGCCAACTTAGACTCCCATCAACAACGTGTTTAAATTTGACAAAGTATTTCTCAAACCTATGTTTTTTGTGGCTTCTAAGATGAGTTATTGTTTTGATCATTTATGTTAACCTAACAGAACCTTCTTCTTTAAAACCTTATTAGGAAAAATACTGGCCGTTTCCAATTTCTCTTTGGCTTTCCTTATGAAAAATGAAAGTTTACCAAGGTGAGCATTTGCATGTTTCCTTGAAACCTTTCTTAGACAAGATGTTGGTCAGTTTAATCAGATTTATTTGACAATCTTCATTAGGCAAGAACAAAAGGAATTTTAAAATTCAATTAAAAAATTTCTTCTAAGTATTTTACAAAAATTATGAAGACTAGTTGTATTTCAGAATTTAGCACATAAAAGGATTTTTCTAGATTCCTTATTGCTTCCCACTCCCATTAGCATATGAATTCATTTTTGCACTTAATAATATATCATGGAGATCTTTTGTTGCCTGAAAAGATAATTCCACAACGTTATTTTTATGGTCTGCGTAGTATATCAAACGCCCTCAAAAAGGCAGCACAATGAATATTTTAAAATGCTTTAAAACATCACTTATCTACTTTACTATATTCCTTGTTTAACAGCTGCTTATGAATTAAAACTTCAGGAGGAAGTTCTTCCCTAGAAATTACTAGTGTGGCCACCCCTCTGATCCAATGACTTATCCGATAATTCTCAACCAGAGATAACTTTTCCACACAGGAGACATTCGGCAATATCTGGAGATATTTTTTATCATCAGGCTGGGAGTAGAGGCTTGATACCAGCCTCTGATGCCTGGAGGCCAAGGATGCTGCTAAACATTCTACAATCCCCCAGATACCGGCCACCAATAGAGAATTATCTGTTCCCAAACATCAGTAGTGCCAAGGTTGAGTGACCTGCCACAATGGTGGTTTTCAAACATTTTTCCTCTGAGGATACCTTTAATAAAATGAAATCTAGAGAATATCAGCATATAAAATACAAATGAAATGAAAGCTTTATATATATTTTTAATATGAAATTAATCTTATAAATGTACATGTTGACATCTATTTTAATGAGCACAGAAATTTGAAACAGAGGTTATGATTAGAATTATGGTCTTAAACCTCTCAACACAATTATTTTTATGTTGTATTTTATTTGCATAATATCAAAAACTCCTAATAAGTAAGGAAATACTTGCTTCTAAAATCGTACATGACTGGCCATGGGCTACCTTGAATTGTCAGGGGCATCCCCCAAGTGATAAGTAACGTTCTCTAAAATCAATCACACTTTTACAAATGGTTCAGATACACCCCTAGGTGGATGGACTCTAGTAGGTGTTTAATGATGGATTAAAGGGAAGCTTTCTTTGGTGCTTCATGCTCTGCTTAAGTTGATCTGTAGCAAAAGTTAATGCTATGATGGTCTTGAATGCATTAAAATGTGGCATAAGACACAATACAATGTGCTTGCTTATTAAAGTTTAAAATAATTATAACGTTTAAAAATCAAATTAAAATCAAATATTTGTGGAACTATTGAAAAGCTTTAGAGATACTTGAGAGCATCATTTGAGCTGCGTTGGTCAGCATATCTCACTTAATTGGCCTCATTTTCAGACATGTGTCATCTAGGAAGCAAACTCATCATATCCGAGTAAGGACATGCATTAAAACCTTAATGCTGAACCATGGACTCACATGTTGTGAGGCTCTGGAAGTTTGACAAAGCAATTTGAAAAACCAACAAACAACTATCTATAAATTATTAACAAATGTTTCATATGTATGGGTCCTAGGAATTGTGAGTGTTAAAAAAAATCTTTGTAAAGCGTAACTGCAGTTACTGTTGCTATTCTTTATGATCAATTCATTCAGGAATCAGCAGATATAATCTAATTGATAATCACCTTGGGAAATGATATATCACATCAGAAGCTTGCCCATCACCTGATGATTTTTCAATTAGTATCACTTGGACCAGTTTACTTTTGCCTCAAGTACCATTATGAAACCAAGCAGAGTTAAATAATCACAACTCAGAAAGGGGAAGAATCAGGGCAGCTCCAGGAACCTGAGCTGTGAAAAGTGCCCAACTTTCTCTGAGGAAGACTGACATTAGTGAAATAACTTCCTTCTTGGGATCTCTCTATTCCAGATTTAAAATTCTTAAGAGGATTTCATTGGCTCAACTTGGATTAGGTGCCAAATCTTCCAAAATCATTTTGTAAGAGCAGGAAGGAAAGTTGCACTCATACAAATATTGTCACCAGGGACACCCAAACGTTGCTTATTTAAGAAAGGAGGAATCACTGAGGCTCAGACAGGGACCTCTATGCAAGTAGTTACTCATAAATTTATGTTGTGGCCTGTTGAAATGTATGTAACCGAGTGTCGGTCTCTGCTAATTTAAGGGTTTGGCATTTCCAGATTTTGTAATACTTATGGCTAAGTGAGCTGAGTGCCCTTAGCCCTTTGTAAGAAAAGAATTGCTGAGCAAGAATTCCCAGGATCATCAATAAAAACAGAGATGTCCCTGGGCAGAGCTCTGCTCAGCCGTTCTGTCTTCTGGGTACGAAGCAGCAATGAGCGTTTCTAAGAATGACGGCTCCCTGTGTTTCCATTTGTTCACTTTGCTGAATGTAATTGCTCAGTAGTGGTTAGTCACCTCCATAATTGATTAACACATCCACATGGAAATGTACTCACACTGTGGCTGAAGCGGCCTGATAGTCTAAATCTTTTATGGAATCAAAGGTGCCAAAGGTTGCAAAAGCTGGATGGGCTGAGGGCTTCAACAGTGAAGTGTTTTTTTGAATTCTGTGTTTCACTTTTAACACCCAGGTCATTCATTCTGAGTGAGTGAAAACATTATTATTTGTCGATAGCAAATGAAAGTACAATAGAGTAGAACCAGCTAAAAGTAAAGGCATTAACTCTTTTTCTGAACACAGCCTTCCCAGAGGTACAGATTCATGACAGCTTAACATTCATCTGTCTTTTTTCAAAGACATTTAGAGTGGCTTACATTATAATCCAATTTATTGACATTTTGAAGGTTAGGTCAGAACACTATAATAGGCTGTTAGTTAAAACTATGGTCCCATGAGGCTTTTGAGTGAATGGAAATCACACTGCTGTTGTAGTCATTTATTAAGGTGTATGTTGTATGGTCACTGACCTTAAGAGTCACTGTAACTGCAAATCATGTATATTTGATATCTAAGGGCTGTATGACTCTCATTGCTGACAAAATACAACCCAGTAAGTCCTGGCCTATAAATAGATTAAATTCAGTCACACACACACACACACACACACACGGAGAGGGCACTTTTGCCAATAACAATGTCAACTCAAATCAATGAACAAATTATGATTGAGATTTTCCCATAATCTTCAGTTCTATAGGGACGAGTTCCCAAATTTTAAATGTGATATCTCTAGAGCAAAAATCTACTATTTAATAGAATCTACATGACAAAAAAAATTAGGAAACAGAGGAAAAAGGCAGCCTGAAAATGCTAAACTGAAATGACAGCCCTTGGGGCACCTGGGTGTCTCAGTGGATTGAGCATCCGACTCTTGATTTTGGCTCAGGTCATGATTCCAGGGTCTTGTAATCAAGCCCTACATCAGGCTCCAACTGAGTCTTTCTCTTTCTGCCCTCCCCC